TTATAGGCTATTGATGTATGATGTATGAAACCTTAATCAATAGTAGATACAGTTGCAGACTGATTCAATAACAACGTTAATATAAAAAAACAAAACTGCTTCAAAATAAACAAAATTCAAATTAAAAGCTTCCACTGTTGAAAGAACTTCTTACAAAATAAACAGGAAAATGTCCTGTTCCCCTTTGATATTTCACGTGCAATCTGATTCAATAAATATTGCTTTTTTTTGCTGTGACACACTTTTTTCTTTTTAGCTGTAATGGGATCGCGATGGTATACAAAACAAATAGGCAATGTAGTAAAAGTAGTAATTTATTGTATACTAGCAACTTCCGCGTGGTTTCACACGCTCTGCTCAGCTCCTATTAGTCGTAGCGTAATGTTTTATAGCCTATAGTCATCCTCGACAAATGCACTATCCAACACAAAAAGAATTATTCAAATCAGATTTGTAGTTCCGGAGATTAGCGCGTTCAAACAAACAAACACACTCTTCCGCTTTATATAATAGTATAAGATATAAGATTATTTTGTGGTACAAGATTATCTGTCTGTCTTTTAGGTTTGTGGTTAATATAAAAGAGTGACTGTGAAGCTGAGGGTAGTAGATTTGAGCTGTGTGTATTACGGCTTTGATTGGTAATAGAAAACTGTTGAAAGCAAATCCTCTGCTAACGTCGGTCACCGATCGCCCCATGGCCTTTAATGTGTTAATGACAATTTTAGTAATTGTTTCTTATGTTATTTATATTTTATAAATAACATAACATTGAGACCTCTACTCATCAGTAAAGGTTTCGAAACTGATACCACGATACCACGGCTTCAAAGAAAACCGACGTGAAACAAAGCTTGCGTTGTGATTCGTCGTGTGAGTGCGGTTACCGGAGGCCCAATTACCCCCCTCCCTAGTCCCCGTCTCCCGAATCCCCGAATCCTCCACAATCCTCAAATTTCCCATTCCCAAAAGGCCGGTAACGCCTTGATGTTTCGAGTGTCCATGGGCGGCGCCGATTGCTTACCATCAGGTGATCTGTCTGATCGTTTAAAGGCTAATGCTATTAAAAAAAATCTGATTTGATGTTGATGTTAAATGATGAAGTAGCTGTTCTTCTTTTCACTGCTTAATTTGCACAGTTCCCAAAATACCAGTTAGGTAAATTAATTTTATACAAAAAATGAAACCCAATACTTATAATTTATCATTTATTTATATGACTACTTAATCAACAAGCCAGAGTCTGTATTTCCTGAAGGGTATATATACCTAGGTGTCTTTAAGGCCCGAGTGAATAGGTTGCTCATGGGACGACGAACTCCATCGTCAGCATCATCACCGCCACCAGGCAAGATGGTGGTCAAACGTCGGCCCATCATCAACAGCCTATAAATGCCCACTGCTGAGCAAAGCCTCTTCTCACACAGAGAAGGTTAGAGCATTAATCACCACGCTTGCTCAATGCGGGTTGGCGATTTCAAACTTATAATTAGAAATTATAAGTCCAGGTTTCCTCACGATGTTTTTCCTTCACCGATTGTCAGTGGTGTCTAAATAATCTTAGAAAGTACATATAACTCGGAAAAAGTCACATTGGTACTTGCCATTGGTAGGTTTCGAACCCGCACCCTCATGCATGAGAAGCGGGCGTCTTAAACCTCCGGGCCACTACGACACTTCAAACGTCGGCCCATCAAATATAAAAAGCCAATCGTATCAATGTTGTCAGAAACTAAATAACTATAAAGCATTTTAATATTTACTGCACAAACATACAACTCTATGATAAAATTGCCTCGTTCGCCGAGTGGTCGCAAGTGCGATTGCGGGGGCAAGTAGTCTCGGGTTCGATTCCCGAGTCGGGCAAAGTACTACTTACTAGGTTTTTTATAAATTCTCAGTAGTAGCACGGAGTCTAGAATTATGTCCGGTATATAGCAATAGGCTCACACCCTATTACATGGGACTCATAACATAAATAGTGAAAAGTGGGAGTTACATTGTACAGTGGCATAATGTACACATCTGCCTACCCCTTCGAGCATAAAAGGCGTGATGTTATGTAATCTATAATAAAACTAGACATGTATATGTAGTCAGTCACGGATTTACGAGGATATATATTATTTTAGTGTATTTATCTTAAAATACCATAAAACAGTATTTCCAAGTAAACATAAAATTCGGTCCTTTGACCGAAATTTGTATCATAAAAGACCGAAAATATTTGTGAGAACGAACCACTAAATAAATATCATTCAATCTTCGTTCAAAGTTTATACGAAGTCGGAAGTTGTGTTGCCTCGTTGGAATAACATATAGCACATCTTTATTTATTACTTTATTTTAGAACTTAGTTTCTAAGCTGTTATTTTGTTTCAAACTATTTTCGTGTGTAAATTTTGGTCTTTTTTATGCTAGGTCCTTCTTATGATCATCACCATTATGATCATCTCAAAGACGCACGACAACATACTGAACCGATATATTTATTTATTTATTAACGCTTCTAGTACAAAGTGTGACTTAATGCCGCAGGCATTTTCTCCCAATCTGACCTTTGGGTGATGCAGAGAGGAGTTATTGGTTAGAATCAAGATGCTAGCAACGATTTAATTGAGCAAATAGAAGATATACTGACATATTTCAGAGATAAACATAATTATAATATATATACCTATACACGAGTACAATAGAATATACATACATGCATTATATACATACATACCATGTCATGTTTTTTTTTAATTTTATTATGATCACTATGACGAAATAGAAGACACTTGTATTACTAAATCGAGACAACAATATAATCTCTATAGATACTTATATTAAATTTGAACATTGAATTGGATGTTGAATCGAAGTTAAACAAATAGTTTAGTCATTTTGTTTACCATAACCATAACAAAATCCATTTCTAAAGGTTCAAGGACGGGTCTATAGCCTATTTTCTGATAAGTGTTTCTGACTACAGTTAACTATACATAACATTACATCACGCCGAAGGAGTAGGCAGAGGTGCACATTATGCCACTGTACAATGTAACACCCACTTTTCACTACTTATGTTACGAGTCCCATGTAATAGGGGGTGAGCCTATTGCCATATACCGGGCACAATTCCAGACTCCTTGCTACTACTGAGAATATTTTAAAAACTCAGTAATACTTTGCCCGACCAATCGAACCCGAGACCCCTTGCCCGGCAGTCGCACTTGCGACCATTCAGCGGGTCGGCCAACGAGGCAGTCAACATATAGTACAGTTATACAAAGTATAGCAAAACTACACAAGGAAAGGTTCAAAAAGATGAAACAAAATGTAATGCCATGTACGTATATATATATATATACATATATTATATTATATATATGTATATATATGTTGTATGTTTGTCCTACCCAATGGTCACAAAACTTGCCACTTACAAAGTTGATTTCCTTTCTACTCAAAGAACTGCCAGTTTCCTCAAATAAAATTGCGTCATCTAATCAGGACTCCACTGACACACGGTACAGGAAAACATCGTGAGGAAACCTGGGCTTATAATTTCTAGTTATAAGTTTGAAATCGGCAACTTGCATTAAGCATGTGTGGTGATTAATGCTCAAACCTACTACGCGTGAGAAGAGGATTTACTCGGCAGTGGGCATTTATAGGCTGTTGATTTTTGAAATTGACTGCCTTGTTGGCCGAGTGATCGCAGGTGCGACTGCCGGGCAAGGGGTCTCGGGTTCAATTCCTGGGTCGGGAAAATATTCCTTCTTCGAGCCGTCCGTCCGTCGAACCGGAGCCCCGGTTACCTGTTAGGTACTCCGCGACTCCGAATCAGCATCGGCCCTATAGGGCCCCATCCGTGGTAAATATTACTGGGTTTAGCACGTAGTCTGGAAATGTGCCCGGTATATGGCAATAGACTCACCCCCTATTACATGGGACTCATAACATAAATAGTGAAAAGTGGGTGTTAACTGTACATTGTGCAGAGGTATAAAGTGCCGTAATGTGCATCCTCTGCCTACCCCCTCGGGAATAAATGCGTGATGTTATGCTATGATGTAAAATTATATAAATTTTTATTAATTTGTTGAGACACAGTTTTATGACAGACAACATAGATATCACCCTTAGAGAGCTGAAAACACAAACAACTTGGCAATATTGTAACATAATCTATCTTTATTTGTCTCTGGCCAAGTGATCTATGGTTGACGCGGGGAGCATTATTAACTGAAAGGAGTTTCATTTAGTTGATGAGGCTTTTACTGTTGGTTGTTGGTTTATATGTATTATTGTCAACTATTCGGTTCTCAGTGCAAGCAAAGAAATATGAATGTTTTCTAGCTGGGTATTGTTAGTATATTATATTGAAGCGTAAAAGGATGATTGCGAATTTGATCATTTTCCATTGAAATTTTAGAGTGTGTTTTGTGATTCAATTACGTGACGATTTATTTTTATTATACTTTATTGGGCCTCTTCTAACCTCATTCAAACGGCAAAATACAACTCACAGAGTTATTTCCAGGTAGTATTCTGTGAGACTGTAGTATTACTCTGGTCCAGCTGAAGTGATTCGTGCTGAAGCATGGCTCCACGTGAACTGGTGCTACGAATATTGATAGTTATACGGTGCTTTCTGACCTGGATAGACTATATGTTCCAGGATTTTTGGAAGAAGTATTTTTAGGGAAATAAGTGTTTTGAGTTATAAGACTATATCAAAGTAAATACAAGGTTAAATAAAGATAATTTTGTTCAGAATAAATAATTTTATTGTTCGCCAATACATAGTCATTTATAAAAAATAAATAAAAACATTTTGAGATTTTAAGATTTTAAATAGTTACATTAAACATTTGTTTAGATCTTATTAAGTTACATTCACAAAATTTCACGTCACCATGTGGTTGGATACATACCCAAATCATGAGATTGGGAAGTTATCAATTAAATTAAATTATTAAATAAATCAGCAAACATTACTTTGTGTTTGCCTACCAGTAATGTGGGCTTGCCAGCTTTCCGCAGAAGAAAGCAAGCTTGTAGTAACAATGGACATCATCCATACCTCCCTGTTTTAACAGACTACCACACTTTTGAATGGTGGGGTTATCTGGCTGTTGCCTTCCCCACCAGTTAGAGCTCCAGTTCAGGTATGGTGGATAGCCGCCAAAAACTGTTTGCCACCCACGTGAGCTCAACTGGAGACCGATAAAAGCTTGAGCATTCAATCCATGTGACGGGTTCACAACTTGGCCTGAACGCGCCCACAAGGCCAGCATTTCCTTGGGAGAAAAATTATATTTAGTATTATTTATAAAATGTCACTGTTTCTGATAACGTTAATAGGAGAAGACTGGAATTACAAATGTTGAGTAATCCTGAACGTAGCAATTTTTAGAAGTGAATTACTTTTTTTATTATGGTATAAGCCAGTCAATGAGCCGCCGGGTCACATGATGGTAAGCAATCGGCTCCATCATAGCCATCCTCAACACCAAAGGCGTTACAAGTAATTTACCGGCTTTTTGAGGGTTAAGAATTTGCGGATTTTTGGGGCTTCAGAGATTGGGGAGGTTGGGGCAATCCCCAATCTTTCCAATCGGTAATTGGACCTCCGGTAACTTCATACGACGTGAGCATTGTTTCACGTCGGTTTTCTTGACGCCGAGGTATCACTCCGGCCGACCCAGCCTATTCGTGCCGAAGCATGGCTCTCCCATACTTAAGATATAGAATAAAAAATAATAGAATTTCACTTATGCTACTACTTTTCTATGTTTTACATCAGTGGACCTAGTGGGAGATTTTTTTCGTGACCGCGTCTAGCCCTCTGGTTGATTTGGAGTCAATTAGAGCACCGAACGTCATAAACGTGTCGATCGCGTTAAAGTTAAAATAAACTCACACTAGGCCCTTTGATGTGAAACTTAGAAAAATTGCTACATTCGGGAATATCTACCATCCCATAATTATGTTTAGTTTACTGTATATTTGTTTAATTGCGTACCATAAAGTGGATAAGGTGTTACAAAAGGCTTAAAGCTAAGTTACATTTATGGACCCTGTAAGGGCACAGCAACATTTGTTAAAATAAAGCTATTACCGTTTTTAATAGGAATCGAATATTGAAGTTGAACTAAAATTAAAATGAAATAAAGTAATTAAAATCAAAACAAAATAGTTTAGTAAAAATAAAATGTATAGCTATCAAAATAAATACTTATAGAAAACTTCAACCCATTCATCCACTCCTGAATAATGTATTAAAAATAATAAATACTTACACGCTCGTCCTCCTTGGAGGTGACAACAGCAAGATGTCCACCTTCTTGTTTGCATATGTAACTAGCTTCATCGAAGGTGGCTGGATAGCGATGGAATGTAAACTTTTGGATATATTCACTCCTATAGGTTGTACCCAGAACCATGGGTAATAAAAGCATAAAATAAATAAATTTATTCATTTTTGTTTAAATAATATTTATTTATTTACCAGTCTAGCTTGATTAGCTGATGGCTTTGAACTGTGTGAGTTGCTATGGTTGGGTCGCTTTATATAGGGTTTGCAATCGTATCTGGATGAGTACATCATTGTCAATCATAATGTATAATAGGCGACAAAATCCATTGTGATTGTTATGGTATTTTTGGATTTTACGCATTGTATTTTGTTAATCTATGTAGGGAATATAATTATGATTTTTAGAACACACTCAAACTCAACGGTTCAAATGCACAACTTATTTATAAATATATTGTAAAGAAGATGGTTGACACTTCAGGTGATCGAAGGGCTGGCTACTACCTTGGTCAAAGTTTAAGCATTGCCATCCAAAGTGGCAACGCTGTGCCCGTCTTTGGGACACCCTTCCTCAAGACTGCGATGACGATAATTTTTTCGACGCCGTAAGTTGGATATTTTTCTTGTTCTATTCTTCCCTTTTCTCTTTATTTTCTATTAAAAGTCCTTATGTTTTGTTTAATTTTTTGACAAAGTGGAAATGTTTACCTAATAGTCATCATTCACGGCACAACCATTGGCTTAGATTCTCGCTGTGTTGAAACGCTTTGGTATTTTGGGTGTCCGTGGCCGGCGCCGATTGCTTACCATCAGGCGATCCGTCTGCTCGTTTGCCGGCTTATGCTATAAATAAAAACAAAAAGTAGCCCTGCCACCGCACCAACCGTGCTGTCCAATTGAAGTGCAGTTTAGTCTAAGAAATGTCATTAACGACAGTGTGCACGAATGTATGATGATAGGGTAGTACACAAAATATAGTCTTTATTGTAATGAGATTATTTTAAAACATCCGACACGTATTTTTCTTTTCTTACAAAATTAAATACTTTCGAGAATATATTGGTTTGTAATATCGTGTGACGTCACGATTTACTACATTTTATAGGGTAGTGTGACGTAACGACCTCTCACTTTTAAACTTAACTCCGTTTTATCTAAGTATTGTTTTCTTAAACAAAATAATAAAAAATATACGTGTCTAATATTTTATCATTTTTTAACTGACGGACTAATTACATTTGTAATTTTTATACTATATAACGAGACATTTAGAAACGCAGGATGTAACATTAAAATATTAATTTTACCAGTTATCATTTCTATACCTTTTGTTATTTAATTCCTTTGTTTACTTTAAATAGCCGTAGGTACTTCAATTTACCCAATATTTTATTTATTTATTTAGAACGGATAAGTTAACAAGGAAACTCGTTTACAGATTATTGTTAATGTATTAATAAAATGTTTGTTTGTCATGAACAGATGAAATAATATACTTTTAGTTATTATTTGTAATATTCTGACTGCACTTTGATGTAATGTATATGTGAATTTATATGTTAGTGAATGCCCCTACGACTAGAAAAATAATCCTAGTGTGGGGCGACGTTATAAAAATTTTATAATTATAAGTTTTTTTATGGAGTAGCAGGCAAACAAGCAGATGGATCACCTGATGGTAAGCGATCAGCGCCGCCCATGGACATCCGTAACACCGGTGGAATGGCAAGTGCATTGCCGGAATAAAAATAGGCCGGCCTTTAGGGGATTAAGAGTTTGAGGACCGTTGGGGATTCAGGAATTGGGAGATTGGGGAAGGGGAGGGCAATTAACGTAACTTCACTCACACGACGAAACACAACGCAAGCGTTGCTTCACGTCGGTTTTCTGTGAGGCCGTGGTATCACTCCGGTCGAGCCAGCCCATTCGTGCCGAAGCATGGCTCTCCCACACTTAAAAAGTATAGGAATTTGCTAACAGGAAATAAGTTTCATTGTTACATTATAACGTATATGGAATACAGATAACCAAAACAATATCATTTAAATAGGTATTAGTTAATTTTAGCCTATACATAAGTGCGTCAATCAAATTGTAAACAAACCCAGCATTATAAATAAAATGAATTAATGTTTAATTTAGGTTTATTTATTTGATTTGAATACCTATGCATTTCGTACATACATTATCCAGAACGATTGAAAAACAGGAAAAGTTGTGTTATGTAGATATAATTGGATATAATTGAAAACGAGATAAGGTAAATTGTAAATGTAAATATTAGTTATTATTTTACGTAGGTAGACAGTTAATTAATATTGTACTAGGTATAATCCAGATTTAGGGGAGTCAGTCGTCCGCTGTATGGGCGGGAGTAGGCGTTGGCGGTGTGTTCACGCGCGCCACTCGAGGAAGAAAATCGCAGCTTTTGAGGGCTGCTACGTGGTGGTCGTTTAGTGGTAGGTCGAGGCCTGCCGGGTACGGTGAATCCGCAAGGGCGTCTTGGGTCACGGCCACAGGCAGAGGAAGAACACCGCAGTGGTTTTAGCTGGTAGGAGTCCGGCACACCCCCCCGTCGTTCCCACGGCGTGGGAAGTCCATGAGGATTTCCATCGCGTTATTAAAAAATAGGGTATAATCCAGATAATTCAAACATGACTTTTATCGCAACTTATTTTGGCGCTGAACATATTTTGGTAATAATATAATGACCAAAAAGTGATTCCAATTTTTTGTCATGCAATCTCAATTCTCAGCAATGCCTCGTTGGCCGAGTGGTCGCAAGTGCGACTGCCGGGCAAGGGGTCTCGGGTTCGATTCCCGGGTCGGGAAAAGTATTATTAAGTTTTTAAAAAATTCAGTGTTAGCACGGAGTCTGGAATTGTGCCCGGTATATGACAATAGGCTCACCCCCCTCTCCCATTACATGGGAATCATAACATAAAATAGTGTAAAGTGGTGTTACATGGTACACTATTTAATATTTAAATTTAATACCAAATAAATAAATTCAATAATAATACACATAGAATATACATATTATTTTTATAATAGACAAAGACCGAGACGCAGCGTTGTAGTGACTTTAAATAGTATTAGTGAACATAGCGTTTGAAAGTGATCTTATTTGGAGTCTTATGTTAAGCGGTAGTGCGTTCCATAACTTAATTACACTAACTGTGAAGGAGTTAGAAATGAAGGATGTTCGGTGCAACATGCTATTAGCTAGTTGAATGTAAAAAATAGGGTGTCTTTGGAAGACTTTAAACGACAAAGAAGGATTTTTTTTTAAGGGGGGAAAATCATCGAATGTCTGCTCCCGCCTGGGTGAGGCGGGAGGGAGTGTCAGACTCTTACTGACTAAAAACCACCCCGTTCCTTCTCCTGCACGTCGAGCCGGAGCCCCGGTTACCCGTTAGGTTCTCCGCAACAACAAAGGAGGATACAACAACCACTACCATCAGATCCGATGGTAAAGCGCTGTGGTTGCTAACTAAGTTTACGTAAGACCATTGCTTTCTAAGGTACAAAGCGGTGTTTAGATTCCTATCGACCCGTATCGTTTCTACATGGGTTGCGCAAGGCATTATTGGGTTTTACGATTAGAAGTCTATATTATTGTGATTCAGCGTGGTAACGCGAAATCGACAAGAATTATATACATTTTTTATGACTATGATTATTAATGCTGTCATTTTTTGGGACAAGCCCGTAAACGAGCATGCGGATCGCCCTCACAATAGCATATCCATCCCCATTATATAGAATCAGATGGTTGACAGGCCATATCTGTGCACTTCTCTCGTAGCTTTCTGCTTCGCACAGAAAAACTGTGGAATGATCTGTTGTCCACGGTATTCCTAAACCGATACGATCTTCAAACTTTCAAGAAAAGAGCGTATTTCTTTTAAGAAGGCCAGCAATGCACGGTCCTATGCCTTCTTTGGTGTAGCGGGTGTCCATGGGTGGCGCTGATTGCTTACTATCAGGTGATACGTCTACCCATTTGCCAGTCACTTCATAAAAAATACTCAAGAGATAAGGTTCAAGTAAACTATAATTTAATTAACATACTAATATCTCAAACGTTTTTCATTAACATCAGAATTATAACATGCTTAACTCGTCCTATAAAGCGCAATGAATATAAATTGCAAACACTTTTTCCCTTTCAAAGAATTCCCCTGTGGTTCTATAGACGACCAAAGTACCTTGTGGCTTGGCAAGCTATTAATAGCAATACTACTATCGGTTCGAAGTCGAGTTGGTGACAAGTTGCTAGCTTATTGCGTTGCTTATAAGATTTATTACTTCGTTTACAAATACATTAAAGCAAGTGAGGTTTAAATACGTTAGTTCAGTTATTTAAAGTGATTAAAGACTGTTTTATTTTATGCAGTAATTAAAGTGGTATATTTATAGGGTTAGGTTGACTGGGTTGGCTTTTTGAGTTGCGTTGTTAACAGCCCTTGAATTTTTTACTGCAGAGGTATGAGCTGCCTCGGCATACAAATTTTTGCCATAAGCTTCACTCTTGGGAGGTGGCTCGAAGATGCTAGTTCAAGTCACTCCCTTCCTTGGTCAGTTTATCTCATTGGATTTTTTTTATAGGGGGGAATATCATCCGATGACTTCTCCTACCTTTGATGAGGCGAAAAGGAGCTCTAGCCTGCTCTTCGAGCCGGAACCCCATTATTTTTAGCAGTTTCTTATCGGAAGGCGTCATAAATAGATTCTCTACGACATTATTAAGCATGTATTAATTGAAAACTAAAACAATTTGCCTAGTAGCACTTCAGAAAAATAACAAACAAATTACCTGTGTCTAAAGCGGTCTTTTACTTAGGGTTCTGTTTATGTATCTAAGCTGACAGTACATTAACGGCGAGGTACACAGACCAGTACATACAGTGTTCTAGAGAGGAGTCATTAGCTACCTTTAGCTAGCTGGTACTAGTCCGGACTCGTGCGGTTTCCTGCGGTTTCATTCTGTAACTTTTCAGAACATTTCACGTTGAAAACTGTTTTATTTGAGTGCAGATGTGGATGGACTAAGTGCTACCTGCTTGTGGGATTCAGATGAACGAGTATTTTGATTTTGTTCCGGATTTAGTTTGGGTTATTAGGTAACTAAAAGATTATTTTTTAATGAATTGTATTCTTGAGAATTTCACACATGTTTTTGTTCATTAAAGTGTAATTTTTTAGTATTGAAAAAATATTAACAAAAGGTAGATATATAATTTATTAAAGGAGATAGAACTACATAAATATATACAACTTAAAATGAACTATAACTTAAACAATGAACAAAAATAAACTGAAAACAAAGCATAAGATAAAAAATTATAAACTAGTATAATAAACGTGTAGCGTTATGTTCAAAAGACGAATAATCAGCCTTACGGTCACTATACTGTAACGAGAAAATGAACGTACATATGTAAGTAGTTAGGAAACTGATCGTGGTCGAATAGAAATAAAATCTTAATGTACGACTGTTTTGTTTATAACAGTTGAAGTAATCTATATCTATATATATATATAAAACAAAGTCGTGTTAGTTACACCACTTATAACTCAAGAACGGCAGAATAGATTTGGCTGAAAATTGGTAGGGAGGTAGCTTAGAGCCAGGAGACCGACATAGGATACTTTTTAACCATTTTTTTTACTTTTTACCGAAAATCACGAACGGGGACGGGAAAAAATGGGATTACGCGTACGAAGTCGCGGGCAGAAGCTAGTTTCTTATAATTCTTTGTAAAGAAATCTTTGAGCTCCAAAATGTGTTTAATGACATTTTAAATGATAATTCTTTAAAAAGTCTGTCATATTATATTAATCTGTCGAATATCAAACCACTGTACTGAATCGATGAAACGGACGTCCATAAGTCAGACTATCCTAGACGTCGTAAAGATATAATGCCAAAAATATATCGTTCCTCGGCATAAGCCCAACGCATTAGAATGTTATGTAGACTAGTCGCCATATTGGTAGCGCGTCTACGAGACCTCAAAATGTTTTATGCATCGGCCAGCGCAGCGCTTCAAGCAGATTGTACGTACTTTAGACATCTTCAAGCCATTTTTGAGCTTATTTCTTTTTGATTAGATTACTGAATTGCTTATACCTATTTTCATATATTTTTTATTATTAGAAGAAAAGATTTTGAGTTTAAGTGAGTTCTAATTGAGTAATTTTCGTTTTCGATTATTTGCTTTAACTCAATCCTCATTGAGCCTCTTGATATATGACTTATGCCTGTTTTAACCATCCTCCCATGAATTTTAAGCAATCTCTACGATAAGATAGGTGACACTTGATCACGTTATGGTTTTTAGCAATCTATAAGTAACACCAACCAGTACAAGTAGGGGATTGTTAATCAACCCCCAAAAGTGCTTGGTCACGCTAAATAACTTTTAGTTAAACGATTATTATTTAAGGAGTTGTTGATGACTGCCTCGTTGGTCGAGTGGTCGCAAGTGCGACTGCCGGGCAAGGTGTCTCGGGTTCGATTTCCGGGTCATGCAAAGTATTACTGGGTTTTGAAAAATCTCAGTAGTAGCACGGAGTCTGGACATGTACCCGGTATATGGCAATAGGCTCACCCCCTATTACATGAGATTCATAACATAAATAGTGAATAAGTGGGTGTTACATTGTATAGTGGCATTAAGTGCCGTAATGTGCGTTTCTGCCTATTCCTTCGGGGATAAAAGGCGTGATGTTATGTTTAAATGTTGAGTTGTTGATGAAAACGGCCATTAGCCTAGGACAATAAAAACTGTTATTTGATACTGAACTGTAAAGAATTTTGAGAAATTAACTGCAATCGACATTGAAACTTCGTGTAAGTGAACACTTGACCAAAGCAGTCCATAAAATAGCCTATAATTTCAAGATCATCGCAATATATCAGGTTGGTCGCGTTTTATAGGCCTCCTCAATAAAATTCATCGTCTTTTGCGGATAATGCCGTAATTGACGATAATGGCCGGATTAGCGTCCAACGATACCTTTATATAGAAGACGATGATAATTATATCATTTGAAATGTTTTACAGGAATATTTTAAACGGGAAAGATAACAGTGGAAATTGCCTTTGGTATTATGCATATATTGTCAGAAATACATTTTGTTTATGCCTCTTATTTAATATTCCAATCAGAAACCGATTTGAAATTCCTCTGTATTTTCTCAAAAAATATCCAGGAAATAAAACTCTAAACAATCACTTACTAAATTAAACTAATACTAATAAAGTCACTTAATGGTCATAAAATTCAAACCCTAAGTTATAACTTTGTGAAAATTGTGCAATAACTATCACACTATACCTAAAGTTTTTATAAACTTATAAAACAACAGAAATAACAAACTAGAATAAACATCTACGCGAAGTAAATTGGTTACTGGCTACGACAGCGTAGTTGACGTAGCAATATCGACTACGCCGTAGCACCGTAGCCAGTCGTAGTATAAATACACCATTTACAAAAATATATATCTATGAAAATATTCTGTCACGATGATGTTTGTATTTATTTACATAATATAATATGAACTACCTTTACGTGTCAGACAGAAATACTTTAATAGAAAATCAGTAAGAAAATACACCTTGGCAATAATGATAAATCAATTTCACATAAATGTATGTTAAAAATTATTTTACTTCGAAATGGTATTCAATGCCATATTAATGATAATTCTTCGAAAATTATGTCCCATTATAGTTGATCTGTTATTTCTTAAACGTTTTTGTTATAATATCTCCTAACATTAAATTGTGATGGCTTGAAGATTTGGGTACATTACATTTAATATTATTGGGATTTTTCACGAAGTTTGGAACTAGCAAACATATGTATTAAATAGGATTAAAATATCTAGTAAACTTGTAGTGACCAAGTTGCTAATTGTAATAAAATAGTAACATGAGTGGATATCGGATCTTTCTAAAATTTCAAGGAGAAATGTGAAATCCGCTTGGTTATTATGGCCGGGTGTGTGATATCTCTTTGTAACAGAGTCTAAATAAAACCCTTATTACGATGATCATATACCTTTTTAGACCAAGTTCATCCAATAGTGGGTATCCAGCTGTATTGTACAGTTTGTGTATTTCTAACTTATCTGCTTCCATTATAATAATCTAGGGGCACTGTAGTGCCTCCGCCAAGTCAAGCGCGAACCAAACACTGCCGTACTATCCTTTACTGGAACCATTTCGCCGCATTTTCAGGCCCCTATTGAGAATCTCTGGATAAGACCAGAATTTAGAAATATTCGTCCTCCAGTCACCTATAATTACATACTTAAAATCCAAAATTATTAAAAAATAAAAACTAGGACAATCGAAGATCTGGAGTAACTGGTGATCCTGATTAGATTAAATAAAAAACATAACATAACATAACATCACGCCTTTTATCCCCGAAGGGGTAGGCAGAGGTGCACATAGAAGTAACACCCACTTTTCACTATTTATGTTATGAGTCCCATGTAATAGGGGGTGAGCCTATTGCCATATACCGGGCACATTTCCAGACTCCGTGCTACTACTGAGATTTTTAAAAAACCCAGTAATACTTTGCCCGACCCGGGAATCGAACCCGAGACCCCTTGCCCGGCAGTCGCACTTGCGACAACTCGGCCAACGAGGCAGTCTTAAATAAAAAAATACATTAAAATATTAATTTCACTAAAAATGTGGTCAAAATATAATAATGCATTGGACTGAGAGTGAAGGTAATACACGCATTCTACAAAAAGAAGTGAAATCCCACCAAAACATTCTGTAAAAAACTAGCCAAGCCTCGATGGAGCTCCTAGTTTATCTCTATAAAGTAATGAAATATAACAAAGTCGTGTCAATTCTAAGGAACCTTAGAACCTTATTGCGATTTCTTTAATATTATAGTAATGTTGTGTAACTTTGCCGTTGAAGGATAACACCACGTTATCCAAGTCGCAATTTTCCATCATCAACGGGTAGCTATTCAGCGACAGATTGGTGCAATGGTGTCATGGAGCACCTGGTTTTGTACCCTTGTGTACCCTTCAACGGCAAAGTCATACAACATAAACTATATGATATTTTCTACTCAAAGCATTTTCGGACGATCATAATATTCAGTTGAGATCTAGGACAATTTCAAAAGACTATTCAGATGGCCTTCTTAAACAATAATTAAGTAAGTCCTTGAAACTAGATAGTTTAAGATATTCGAAGTTTTTGGTCTAAGATCAAAGGGTTCTTACTCTAAGTAGTTTTGAGAGCAACTTGAGAACGCTTATGTTCAAGTGATATCTTGCTCTTTTGAACTTAAAGTAGGTACCTACTTTAAACTGATGCATGCTTCGAAGGTTGATGTTCGAACTTCTTTGGATATAGAACTTTTTGACATATTAAGTCCTAGTCTGAAATTTTATTAGGGTTCAGTTCACTTTACTTGTAAAACTATTATACAAAACAATAACAAAAACACCGAATACTACAATGGCAATCACAGGTATGATATGGTACCAGTAGTAGAATTCAGACAAAAATAAATACCCTGTAAAACGACATCTTAGCTTCATATTCCTATTCATATTCATTTATTTGCATACCATAAAGTGAATAAGGTGTTACAATAGGGTTATAGCTAAGTTACATTTATGGACCCCGTGAGGACACAGCAACATTTAATAAATAAATAAGCTTATATCTATGCTACCTCAACAAAGACAATTTTTAATTGCACACCAAAAACATCAACATAATTACTAAAAGCATATATTTTACAGTACAATTTTGCTTACAGTAAAACACATGAACCCTTTACTAGATTAATATTTCCAGCGATCGAATCCTCGCTGTGGTCTCTATCTAAGATAATCTTGGTCTAAGTTTAAGTAGGTAGGCGCACAATATTATTTTAATCAAAAGTTTTCCATCCACAACCCATTTTATAAGATATACGTGCAGAAGCTTCACTTTGATCAACTTTCAAAATTACTGACTTAAAATAAAAATATTATTTACGTTACTTATCAGCTATTCATTTGATTCTACAATTGAAATACTGAAAGATTTGACAAAACAAATTTGGAAAAGGGTGCCATCGCAATGTATAGTGATCAGTAATTCTGCCCTAACCTACTTCAATCTATACAATATTTTAACTTCACGTACAAACAGAGAGTATACAAATTAATCTCTTATAATGACAGAATAGATTAGTCCACTTTTAGTGCCTTTTAGTCGTTCCGGTTAGCCGGTGCTGGATACCCGGTAGCGTAGTGTATACAAATTAGGCCGATACGTGTGAAAGCTGCAGTACATGTTCTTAAACTGCGCCGTACGGTAGCTGGCACTCGGTACCCGGTATACGGCACCTAATAATTAGTACCGGAACATGTGAAGAAGCGTTTATAGTTTCATTAGTATCGCATTTTTTTTAATTTTTGACACATTTAGCTGTGGAACTTCTTTATATTTTTCTTTACAATGGTCCACATTATCTTATGTACATGTTCAGGAGTAGTTAGTGGTAGCGGTGTCGATTCCAAACTCTTTGATCTATGTTGATTAAAATCGACTGATGGTTGGAATTAGGGTGAGTTCGAAGTCTTATTTGATTCACTAATAATCAAATTGGGTTTTTGTGTTTGCTAGCTTTAATAGTTTTGATATTATATAGTCGCTTCAAAGTCATTGGGATCAGGTCATTGGCTTAATGGTCGATGTCTTGTGACTGACAAGATGATGATGATAATTTTTTATGGGATAAGCCTGATAATGTCAAGTAATCGGGGCCACCCATCGACATCCGAAACACCAAAGGGATTAGGTATTTGAGGATGTTTGGGGATTTGGGGATTGGAGATATTGCGGAGGGGGGGTAATTGGGCCTCCGGTAACCTCACTCACACGACGAAACACAACGCAAATGTTGTTTCAGATCGGTTTCTGTGAGGTCGTGGTATCACTCCGGTCGAGCCGGCCCACTCGTGCCGCAGCATGGCTCTTCCACACTTAATCATAACATTTGTAAATAATAACATTTGAAACATTTATAACATTTATTCCTACCTCCTGTGTTTTGTAGAAACTTAATAAAAACTGTAAATAAAATGGTGTGTATGCTATGCTGCATTTTGATTGTTCAAAATATTATTACAATATGTAAAACCAAAAATGCAGTTTTAATTTTATTTTCTTACAATATGTGGGTGTTGTGGGCGTATACCCGCATGCAACCGTTGTAAGAACCACATTATGTTGTTCGCAATTTAAATTCAGTTTTAATTATTTTGTTTGAGCTACGACTTTTTTTAAGGGGGGAAAATCATCGAATGGCTGCTCCCACCTGGGTGAGGCGGAAGGGAGTGTCAGACTTTTACTGACTACAAACCACCCCGTTCCTACTCCTGCACGTCGAGCCGGAGCCCCGGTTACCCGTTAGGTGCTCCGCGACTGATTATCGATGACTAGCTTGACATTTTAATTAGGTAACGTCTTATTGTTTCAAATACGAGTACTAAAGAAATAAAATCTAATAATTGTTAATAAATAAATACTAATCGTATGCCATTTACAGTTTTATATTGTTACTCTGTTGTGTATTACGCTGTTTCTGTTTTGTGTACAAAATAAATAAAATTGTATTAACAGAACTATATTTAACCGCGACTTCAATTTGAGTAGCTTTCAGTATTCCAGCAAGTCTTCAATGGTAAACAACAAAAATCACAATAACATATTTCAAAAATATTCATAACACAAAGCAATTGAATAAATTGAATGCAAAATATGCACGTGTTCATACGAAGCCGATAGAATGTACACATGGATTCCTTCAGAAGAAAATAGAAGCCGAGAAATGTACTGTAGGTAAAATCTACAGTAACTTAACAACTGTTATAAATGTTAGATACTCTGCATTGGTTTCTTTGGACCAATAAACTGGTTAAAATGCAGTATTATTGAAGTATTTTTATATGTTATGCGAATGCAATATTCGTCAGGTGTATGATTCTTAGATTGTGGTCTGGCCAATAGTTAAAACTTCTTTTATCAATAAAGTCTATAAATTAAGTTAAGTCACTTAATATCATAATAATATCGGATTTATTACATGATTACAAGGTTATGAAGATTTTATGAAAATTGTTGACTTTAATTCATTATCTTTATCTTGAATTAAATTATTACATCAATTTTTTATAAGATAACATTTAGATAACTATCCTACGGGAACGGAAGAAAACGGGATTGCACGTACGAAGTCGCGGGTAGAAGCTAGTCTTTTATAAAATGACAGACATGGCACGATATTTAAGTACTACTTTATATTGAGTAAGTTTTCGGTATTCGAGCGTAAATTACGCAATAACGCAAAACTTATCGATATTAGAGTGGGGAGGCAAGTAATTATTGTTATAATAATACGTTCCTCAAACAAGGTTTAATTAAAACCTTGGGTTATATCTCCGTACAATTTGACTTACTTAAAAATCCTAAGTTTAGATTTATAAGAGGAAAATTGTAACAATTTTCGAAAAAAATATTAAGATACTTTTCTTTTGGAAACTGATTTATGTGAGTAATATTTATGTATTTACATAACGATTGTAAAATCGTTGTGAGGATTAATTTATTATTTATTTATTTACCAGTGATTTTAATTATAAATGTGGCTATATGTTAATACTAGCTTTTACCTGCGGCTATGCCTGTGTATTCCTGTTTTATCCTATGTGAACATTTAATCGAGATAAAAGGATTATATCACCTAAATCAGTCCATACCCTGCCTGTGTATGAAATTTGATCAAAATCCGTTCAGTAGTTGCAGCGTGGTTGTCGAACATATATCTAAACAAAAAAACTTTCACATTTATAATTTTTTTTTTAAATAAAACGTTGCCCCACTTTAGGATTTTCTCCTGTGTCGTGGGTGCGTTTACAAACATACAAGTTCACATACACATGACACCCAGACCCGGAACAACAATCTGTAGATCACACAAAGAGTTGTTCCGTGCGGGAATCGAACCCGCGACACGTTGCGCGGCAGCCAGTTGCCCATTAGTGTTAGTGTGATAACTAAGTAATTTCTACCCGCGGCTTAGCCAGCGGGATTTTTTATATTGTCGA